AGATAGTCCTCGTGTAGCTTTGCGCGAAATTTGAAACCAATCAAAGCTGTACAAGGGTTATCTGGGCTTAGCGGTTCCTAATTTTGAATTGATAGATAATAGGGAAAGCAGCTAACAGCATTCACCACCATCTGCTATAAACTTACGACGGCATCCAGAGCAGAGCGCGTTTTTCTTTTCTTTTTTTTTTGCGAAACGAATCGTGGACACTCATTTTCACGTTTCGGGCAAACTATCAATTAAACCAAGCCTTTCACCGATGGGTAAACAGATAAATAGACAGGTGGTTGGATGGTTAGATATACAGGCAACTGAAACATTGGTAGAAGCACAAAATTGAACCTTTGTTACACTGTTACATTAACTTTTTACGTACCATTACTTTGTTTGCTGAAGCAAAAATTTCGTGATTTCTTATTGACATGCTATTAAGATTTTATTCACTGATAATTAAGGTTAAATAAAAACACACACAGTTGTTTTTTTCCTAGTATTTTCCCGCAAGAAAAGTAACAAACACATCCACCAAGAATGGGGTTTAAAATCAATAACAGCAAAAACGTGTGTGTTGTGTATCAAAGTAGTCTGGTGGGGTTGCTAATATACCTCTTAAATCATTCTGTCACTGAAATGTTAACAATGAAAAACAAGAGAAAGTGTTTGGCTTTCACAAACACAGTTGTTATTCCATTAAAGTACAAGCACTAAAACTAGCATTTCCATCCTGACGGAGTTCTGACCACTTTCAATCATTTGAAGCAATATTGTGAACAGAGCTATATTTTTTTGTAATGTACCTCCTCATGAGAAAAAGTTATAAAGTACAACAGAGAACGTCAACTCTGTAGAACGTGTGATTCATTTTCGATGTTTTGGTAGATAGCAAGTGTTAAATTTTTAATCTTGTTGTTGAGAATTCTGAGCCTTAGGCAAAAAATGATTCTTTAATTTTTATCGTCAAAAATTTAAAATGAAGCAATAATGAAACAATGCTGTTTTGG